GGGGCTGGCCCCGATCCTCCCTGAATAAAACTTGGGAGAGCTGTGGCAGAGCGCAAGGTGGGGCGGGTGCGAGCCGCCGGCAGGTAGAGTTCCCCCAAAAAAAACCCCCCAAAAATTAAAAAAAAATAATATCCCACCTTTTCCATCCAAAAAAATCGCCTAATTTTTAATCGAAAAGGGCCGGCATGCGGTCTGGAAAGGTGAGTGTTCGGTGTGCCAACCGCCTGCTGCAGAATTCACTTCCATCCCTTGAAGGGTGGGGATAAGAAGGAATTTTTTCTGGCGGAATGGCCCCTTATTTGCAGGGGCTGCGGCGCAGGTAGCGCACAGGTGAGACAGACAGACAGACACACACACCCCCCCTCTGCTTTGCTTCGTGGAGGGGGGGGACACGGGGGTGAAACATCCCCCCCGCTTCTTCCCCCCGCAGGGTGAGTAAGGAGCGCGGAGTCTAATGACACACCGAGTCTTCCCATTACAGGCGTGGGCTGGATGTTGGGGGCTCAAATGTAAAAAAGCTATGGGAGATGATGAGGCAGGCGGCTTCTCAGAGGTGTGTTTTGCCAGGAAAAGGCAGGTTCTCATCCCTGTTTGTGTTGGGAAGTTCGGGAGTGTACGTCAGCCAGTGAGCTGCTTTAGAGGAGGATGCATCGATGTGGATTTTAGGCTTTTTTTTTTTTATATATATATATACAGGTGAAAATAGCGTAAGGAAAACGAAATACCTAGAGGAATCAGACAAAATGCTGAGGGTTAATTAGTGCTGCTGGGGAATGTAGCATAGCTGCAGCACAGTGAATGAAGGCAAATTCATGTTGAATTGGGAGAAGAGCAAGAAGAAATACAGTGAACGTGCCATAGAGAACAACAACATGGCCATGAAACCCTGCTTGCAGCGTTTCTCAGGTTGGAGCTTGGAATGATTTCTTCAGAATGCTAAAGGTTGGGTGTTGCCTATTTTTTCTTATTTAATCCTCCAAACTTAAACCTGTAACTGAACCCATCCTTTTCGTTTCTCAGGTTGGAGCTTGGAATGATTTCTTCAGAATGCTAAAGGTTGGGTGTTGCCTATTTTTTCTTATTTAATCCTCCAAACTTAAATACCAAACCTGTAACTGAACCCATCCTTTCCTAATGTCTGAATTTAAAAAGGAGCTAGTGAAATAAGCACATTTTAGCGAGAACATACTGAAGAGAATTTGCTGGTGACGGTTGCATGAGGGTTTCTTGCTGGAGTGGTGAGAGACACCTTAGATCATGGATACTCTGTGCAGAGGTATGTTTGTCTGGAAAATGTATGATGAAGGTGCAGTCGAGCTATGAAATCACAATATATTGCAACTTGCCACAATCAAAATCCCATTTTTTTGGCTCTGCAAACAAACTGTTGCAGGAGGGGAAAAAAAAAGGGCAGTAGTGCTTAGGCAAAGCCTATCTTAAACTGTTTGAGGTCTGTGGCCATTATGACTCTGGGGCTTCTAAAAAATAAACAAACTACTTAAGAGTTGTGCTTCTTTTTTTGTAGTAACTCCTGCTAAGTGCATCATAAATGCAAAAGATGGTGTGTACTCCAAACTTGCCACCGATTTCTTTTCAGTGCAGAGGTAGGGCCGTATCCTCTGCATCTAGGCTGTGGTTAGAGGATACTGAAGCATCTTGCGTGTGGATTTAGACTGGTAATTACAGCGTGAATTACTGGTTATGTATTCGGTGTAACTGGATGAGGAATATAATTTTATAGAATAAACTCCTTATCAATATTGATTGCGTTGTAGCCATTCCTGTCTTGCCCTCCTCTTTCTATCTTTCCCATTGGTTTTCCCATGATGCTATGTGAGCTCATGTTTTTATGAACTGAAATACACATTGTGAACAAAAATATGTCTTCCAAGGTACCTGACAATTACCTGTTAACATTTCAGCTTACATACACTAAATTTACTTTCAATTAGACCTTTATAATACAAGTGATATATATGTTAATGTTGAGAAATCCATGAGCATACCTGTTACATGCAGGGAATTTTTAAAAGATTAATTTTTTTAATGCAACGTTGCAGACAAGCATACCTAACTTTCTGCTTGTAAATTCTTATTTATTAATATTAATGCCCACAAATGCAAACTGTGTAAGGCCCAATTCTGCGTCATGTGCAGTATTATGCAGTCTGTACACTGAGTTCTGCAGGTTTTGGGTTAGATACACGTTTCCAGAAGAACACTTTATCTGCCAGGCCTTCTTTGGTTTGCTTGTGACAGTTTCATTAGTATAGAATCCTCCATTTTTGTTAATTTCAGGATGCTTGTTAAAACTGGTAATAGTATATCTTAGGTTTTTATTAGGTAGCAAAAGGAAAACAATAAGAAGGTAGCCAGAAAACTCTAAAACAACACCTTGGTATGTTAAAAAAGGAAAATGTGACCTGCAGCCCTCCCGACTTTGTGCATGGTTTTTCGTGTTTAAAGATAAAAATAAAAGATTGTGTTCCTTCATATGTTTTGTCTAAATTTACCTTCTGTAGAGGTGGTTAAACTTGCAATCAACTGAGAGGTTAGCAGCATCTGCAGTTCAACACTGTGAAATATTAAAACGAAATACCTTTTGCTACTCAAGTTTTTTAACACCCCTTCTCCCCTCCAATTTCATGTCTTTTTGATGTGTTAAGCAGTGAGTATACACATTGATTACTCTCCTTGAAATTTTGAGTATGAATTTGCTTTAGAGCAGAATGATACGGCAAGATAATTTCCTTTGACATCCAGACAAGCAAATGGCTCTGAGGGTAGTTTTTTGATGAGATTAAGCTGGTTTTAAGAACTGATGCAAAATCAGTGACCTCTTGTCCCTGTTCTCCCACCCGCAGTGGCGTGGCATTGTAGCCTTCTCTCTTGGACCAAGTTAAATGTCTGAGCAGCTGCTGGGTGAATGAAAACTCTTTATTTTTGCAAAGCTCCTTTCTAGCAGGATTGGGAAACTGAACTTGACCTCTTGAACGTGAGGGTGACGGGAGGAGGGTGCAGAACCTGGGGTCTGTCCTTCTTGGCAGCGGCAGGCTCTTTGGATGGCTGGTGCCAGCTGTGGGCTCAGGCCTGGAGTGGTTGGATGGAGCCTTGGAAATATCTCTGTGAGTGGTGTGTTTCGATGTAGAGAGAGAGCCTTTCCCCGAGTGTGTTTTGTTGGTGCTTGGTGCTACACAAAGAACACCCGCAGCCTCACCTACGTCAGACTGTAATCCTCGCGGTCAGCCCCATGGGTAATTTCAGGTTGTCTTGTGCTTTCCTTCCAACGTAATAGCTGTGTGCCAACCTCTAGGGACGCTTCTCAGCATCTGTAGAACACGCAAATCTGGGTGGTCACACAAGGCCTAGTGATGTCACCAGTGGGAGGTTACCACGGTCACCAGGGAGAGCAGAAGGGAGCCCGCTTGCTGCTGCTCACTCTTGCAATTCGAGGTCTTCATCTTGGAGTAACAGGTTCATTTCAGCTCCAAGGTAGAGAGTGTGCCTCTTGCATTTGTTGGAGATAAATGGGTGTTTAAAGCTCACTGCATCCGCAAATATTTGCGGCGGTGGAGTGGACTAGATCATTCGTCTCTGG